GAGGGCAGACTGTAGGGGTTGACAAAAGGACCCAAAACGCAGACTCCAAGGAACAGGGAACAGAACTTGAAATGTTAACAAAAAGCGAGCCGTTTAATATGGCTGGTAAAAAAGGTACAAACAAGGGGCAAACTGAAGGAAAATTAACACAAACCTAAACTGGGAAATCTAAACAAACAATAAGAAAAACCTAGACAAGAAACTTGGAGGGGAGGCGAGGCATGGCATGGCATAGCATAGGAAACATGGCGTGGACAACAGACGACCTGACAATGACACACTGAAAACAGAGGACTTAAATACACAGGAGGTGATTAGGGGAAGTGGGAACACATGGAGGAACAGCTGACTGACATGAGCTTAATGACAGGACAAGGGAAGTGAAACTAAATACAATGAACAAAGAACACACGACTCCTTCAAAATAAAACAGGAAACATGAGACAGACATGATAATACAAACTTGATAACATAAGACATGAAATAAGGCATGAAACACAAAGGGTGAGGGAAACTAATAGGAGTCTAATAACCAAATGAACTTCGCTAATCTAATGAACTTAAACATAAACAACATCCAAATAAACTAAAACTTAAAACGCTGGGTCAACAGACCCAGGAACATGACACCAAGGATATTAGGCACGCACACTGTAGCAGTCAGGGGTCAAACCACCAAATTGCCTATCGGGTACCTTCTGAGCTGGTTCCCATTATCTGATAACATTTGAAATTGGTAAATTAGATGAACAAAGGCTGCAGCTCAGGAGCAAGAGCAGACTGTCTAGTCATTTTAAGATTGGTGCTTTAACTCATCCATCAGAGTATGAGTGTGTGGCTGTTAGGTTAAACCTGCTTAGTCATAGAAAAATGTAGTAAGGAAGCACTTTGAGTTCTCAGAGTAGAAAAAAGTATTTAAGTACCACTCCAAACTTTTTCTAGTCTAATGATTTGAGACGAACGTCTAAATTCATTGTGTCATTTTAACCTTCCATTAAGAGCTTTTGTTGCCCTCCAACTTGGACTCTGCAAACCCATCATATGAGCATTGTGCACTTTATAAAAGCATCATGCACACTGATAATCTCCTGCTGACACATTTCATGAAAGAGATGCTTCATGAATTCAGAGAAGGAAAAAAAGCTCAGCCAGCAAGTAAAAGGTAATCCTATTTTTCCTCTTTTTTTTCCTTCTAAACCTGACCTCCATCAGTGTATGTACCTGTGGGTCATGCTAACTTCATACCTTCAGTATCAGGGTAGAAAGTGCAAGCTCTGCGCTGCTTTCCAAAAAAATGTTTTTGCATAAATCATTTTTCATTCTCGCTTAAAGTAAACGTGGAAATGAACCACCTGAACCTTTTCTCACTCCTTGCTCACATAATGATGCTTAATCAGGACATGTAGGTGTTCTATTACAATGCACTGGGCGCTCTTTTACTGGCAGTTTTCACCAGGTTAGTCTGATAGGATTTAACACCTGACCTGGACCATAAGCACAAGCAGAAGCACTCTGCTGGTGTGTTAACTGTAGTCAAGGACTTTATCATGGAAACCAAGAACAGTGGAGATATTAGATGTTTGCCTTTTAAAATGTTTTAATCTTGTGGAAGTTTGTATTTTATTTTTCCCTAAATCTAAGTATCTAAGTAGTCTCCGTGTCTAAGCCACATTATTTAATGCCTCAAACTAACCAAAAAGACAGAAAGGCCTCACAGTCAAAAATAAGCAGCATCCAATCTTTTTGTGGTCATATGATGACTTTTGTTCTAAGTGGTATATTGGTGTGTGTGTGTGTGTGTGTGTGTGTGTGTGTGTCTGTTAAGAGATATATTCTAAAACACTTCTTCAGTAGAGAGTCAGAGAAGAGAAACACATAGAATTTCTTGCTAGCAAGGGCAGCTCTCAGAACTCACACCCCAAGAGTGAGTCTCAGAGACTAAGCACTGAGGACTGCCCTCGTCTTTTATTTATACACTTCAGTGAGCGTTTATTCCATACATTGAAATGTGGAGGTGTACGTGTGTGTGTGTGTGTCCCCATAAATGACTTCCCTAAAACTGCTGGTCTGGAAGGTCCAACAGTTCATTTAAACAAAAGGCACTTAGACTAAAACAGATATAACTACGTTAATCCTACCGTAAAACAATAAAACAAGGTACGACCTTTCCCATGCTCCTAGGATGTGGGGGTGAATGCCAGAACACCCTGGAATGTACACAACGTTGTTACAGACCTCCTAGGATGAGACATTCTTTCAATATGCGACCAACTATATACTTCTAAACACAAATGATTACATGCAGTATTCTACCATATACAAACTTATATCATTAAAAGATTATACTGACTACTAAGTACAATTTTCCATTGACAGTGTCTAAAAATCAAACATGAAAATGACTGGCTGTGAGAATTACCTTTTTTCTCTATTAGGCACCTCCATCAAGGGATGCTTACACAGCATTTTCATCCACACATTGGGCGACCGTGGCTCAGGGGGTTGGGAAGCGCATCTGTAACCGGAAGGTCGCCGGTTCGATCCCTTCGATCTCTGTCCTGTTGTGTCCTTGGGCAAGACACTTTACCCTACCACCTACTGGTGTTGGCCAGAGGGGCCGATGGCGCGATATGGCAGCCTCACTTCTGTCAGTCTGCCCCAGGGCAGCTGTGGCTACAACTGTAGCTGCCTCCACCAGTGTATGAATGTGAGAGTGAATGAATAGTGGAATTGTAAAGCGCTTTGCGTGCCTTAAAAAGCGCTATCTAAATCCAATCCATTATTACACAAGCTATATTCTTTAAAAACTCTGCAGCTAAACTGGACGACTGGACAGACTGCTCAGCTGTCCCATAGTCAAATTGAAAACGGTTACAATAGAAGTCATTTTCTGCATCCTATTTGCTAATGTAAACACATCAGTGTGAATGAATGGATGTGCTAAGTAGTCCATTCTGAAAATATGTGATGATGCTAGCTAAAAGACCGAGCCATCGACTGATACTACAAGGCTGAGGGAGAACGAGGGGGAGGGAAGGAGAGAAATGCAGGCTGAAACTACTTGTGCACGTCTCCACTTTAATGCATTGTAATGTGTCTTTAAACAGGTACTCTGCTGGATCCCAGTGGCCTTTATGATGAAGATGTCAGTTCACCGGAAAGTTTACAAAAGTGAGTCTCATCCCCTGAAAAATCGAATTACCTCTCCTTATATTCGCATGTCCATCATAAATCACAGCGGTCTAGCTTCTGCTCCCAAGTCTTACGAGTGTACCCATAATATATGTGTACCAAAACATATCTGAGATTTAAAGCTCTGAAATTACCACTGACCCAGTGCTCATGTTTGCAATTTGCTGTAATTACTATAATTTCTTGGGAAACCATGTGTTTCAATGAAGCATCGTCATGACATCACCAGGCAGGCCACGAGGTCAAGATAAGCCCTAATCTCAGCAGATTTAGATGATGGGAGTGCAAACCCACACTTGATCGTTGCTCAGCTGATACCCTGCGAACCATGTCCACCCCAACTGCTCGTTATCATGCAGCGTCTGACATATTTATCTTCAGTGCCTGCTCTGGAGTCTCGTTAATACTCTCTTCACTTTCCACGTATGCACACAGAAGTCTATAGAGGTTGGAGAACAGAGCCAATATCCCAAAATATAAATGACTGTAGACTGAAATAATAATCTTTTTGGTTATAGTGGTCTTGACAGAATTCTAATTAACTATATGCATTTGGATACAACACAGCATCTAAACTTCAGTATGTTGTGTGTTGTTTTCAGACTTATGGAGAACGAAGAGGGAAGGAAGGAGTACCTGGTGTTTCCTCCCAGTAAGAGCCAGTGTCCCGCCAGCAGTCAGAAGGGAAGGAAAATCCCGCTGAAGGGCAACGGACGCCGTATTGACTACATCCTTTACAGCGACGAGGGCCTCCAACAGGACTGGAAACTGGTACGGTTTTGTTGTCTTGCTGGATGACGCTCTCAATACTCAGTCTCATATTTTTATTGTCAATTTGTGTAAAAAATGTGTTACATGTACTTTGCTCGGCTGTCTTCTCTTTACTCCTCACAACAAACCATAAAACTTTGATCCAGAAGCCACATTCTTGTCCATGATAACAGCTACAAACGTCAGGTTGAAGATGTTGGACCTGGTTTCCTGATTGTTTCTGACCATCTGAACGTCACCTCAGCTAACTGTGACACTTTTTTAGACCTTAGAAAACTGGCAACACCTCTTAATCATCTGTCCTTTTATTTGTGTTTGAACTAATTAGCTTGCAATATGCTTAGTAATTTACAAAGCCTCAAAGTATTTATTTATTTTTAATCTTAAAGATATATGCTGTTTACTCAGTCAGCCTCAGAAAAACAACATTCATACAATTAAGTCCAATATTATACTAAGAAGTGTATTCCCATGATGAGTGTGAACTTTTGACCGGACATCTAAGTGCTTTTAAGAGGTCCTCTAATTCGCTCCATTGACCATAATCAGTTTAAATTTTAATTACGTTGTTTGAATGCAGTCATAGAGTAGATGGCTATATTGAAAGCATTATTTAAATGAGGTCATGCTAGCGGTCAAGTCATAATTGAAACGTTATTAAAAACATGCCATTTTTATTGTATTCTGAAGGGATTACTTCAACCACAAATTCGCAGTAATAACAACATATTACAAGCAGATAAATATATGATTTTAATTTTCTGCCTTTCATTTGTTTTATGAGTCTTTATGGAAGTCCAGACTTCCATA